TGTATATTTTGGACACAAGGGGGGAGGGGGGGCGGGTCCCATAGGCCCTCTCTGAATCCGCCCGTGAGGTTGGTAAATCGGGAAGGCAATCAAGTAGACATTTTACGTGTTTTGTTTGTTTGTTGTTTGTTGTTTTTTGGGTTTTTTATTTTTTTATTTTTTAATTTTTTTTTTTATTTTTTATTTTTTTTTGCCATATTTGACAGAAAGCTAATAAAATTTTAAATTATTCTGATGTTAAAAATTATTCATTCTTTGAAAGGCATTTTTTGAGTGAAATGACGCGTTTAAGAAAGACCGGTTCACATAGGCGTCGGAACCGGGGAGGGGCTATTGCCCCCCCCCCTTTTTTTTTTTTACAAAGGTAGACATAATATAGGCATTGAAAATTCGGGCGTAGGTCTAGCCCCGCCCCCCTCCCCACTTTCTACAGGCACGATTCATTGTAGTAAAAGAAGGGTAATTGGTAGTGTTTAAAAGAATTTGGTACTGAAAGATGTTCGACCAACCCCCCCCCCCCCTCCACCCCCACCCACCCACACCCCCGCAATAGGATTTTCGGGTTTGGAGAAAGAACAATTTTCCTTTTTTTTTTTTTTTTTTTGCTTGTCAAGTTTTTTTTTCAGGTTTGATTTTTTTTCTATTTCAACTTGATTAGCCACCCCACTATCAATTTCCTTCCGACGCCAATGGTTCATTAAAATCGGATTTGATCTCCCGGAAGTCAAACATAAAAAATCCGAAATACTTGTTCATTATCTTCATGTCATTTGATAAAATATAAATTAATTAAAGTATTATCACATATACATGTAATTATAGGACTATTAATGCAAAGCCTTGTGTCAAACTTTAATCACGCGTAAGTTGCTTGGTTTAAGGATATCCGATCCTCAGCCTTGAAGGATAACTCTTAATTTTATCATTTTATTCAAAAAGGCTAAAATGATTTTAATTTGGTTGTTTGTTTGCTGTTTAACGTCCCTCTCGAGAATTTTTCACTCATATGGAGACGCCACAATTCGCCAGTGGAGAGCTGCAAATTTTGTCCTATACTTGGCACTTACGGCCATTGAGCAGTGAGGGATTTTTTTCGTTCCAACACCTACTGTGGCACGGGACCTCGGTTTATGGCTTTATGCGGTCTCTTACGAAGGATCGGTCTCAACGTCCCACTGTCGGAATCGAATCCGTGACGTAAGGATTGACTCCTTATTCCGCGTCTCTTAGAGCAGACACTCTGATCACCGTGCCACGTTGGCGACGGCAAAGATGAAACTTGAAAATGAAATGTTTTCATGCAGCAATTTTTATTTTAAGCATTTCAATGTGATTTAAGGTTTTCTGAAGTCTTAGAAACAGTCTTATAAATAGTTGATATTAGTAATTTAACATCCCCCCCCCCCGAAAAAAGTATTAAACAAATTACATATTTAACGTAATCCAGTTTCTTTCCATCTACTAACAAATAGATACATGTACCAGTGCACATTTGCATATTATGAAATTAGAAATGATTTATGGTGTTTTGCACCAGGTTCTTCCCGGATGATCGGATCTGGTTTAATAATCCTTTTTTAATGAAAATGTGTATTTTGCATAAAAATAGCATTTTCAAATAAAGAAATAACTATAAAAAAATAAATAGTTTTTTTTAGTTAAAATACAGTGTTTAACATCGGAATAATTTTTAAGTTTATTAGATTTTTATCAAATATGTCAAAAAAAAAACACACACACATAAATATCGCCAACCGAGTCTACCCATTTTACCAACATGGAAATCAACAATCGCCAAAAAAAAAAAAAAAAAAAAAAAAAAAAAAAAAAAAAAATCTAAAATACTAAGTACTTATAGCACAATATATAAAATATTAAATCAGAAAATTGAAACTGCCTACCAGTTTTACTTGAAACCAAAAATCGTCAAGAAAATCTAAAATACCAAGTATTTAAATACAATTTTTACAGCGAAAACACATTAGCCTTAAAAAAAAGAGTCTGAAAATTTTAAATCAGAAATTTGAAAAATCGAATAGTCCCGGCTTTTAATTTGCCACGGCCCGGGTTTCCTATTTTCAAACACTCTTTAAACTGGAACTCCGCGCATTTTTTAAAAATGTTTTTGCAAGAGGACCAGTTTAGATGATGATAAAGAAGTTACCACTGCATAACATGAAACGACTAATGCATATAAAGAATTGACCACATCATATAACAAATTAACATCATATAATTAATTAACCACCTCATATAAAGATGTTACCACTGCAAAGTATGATTTTAGGAATATATATAATAATTTTACTATATAATATAATGATGTTAGTACTGCACATAATAGATTTTTCACTTCATGTAAAGGTGTCGCACTGAATGAAATTAATTTGGCACTCCACATGCAGCGGGTTTCATACAATGTAATGATTGCTTTATCACACAAATTATGTTTGTACTGTATATATTGAATTCATCACATCACAGAAAGATTTCAGTAATGTATATAATGGAAAAACCACTGCATATAATGATTTTACAACATAATATATCGATATTATCACTTCATTACATTATTTAACCACTACAAATAATGACATTGCCACTGAATATAATGATAAAACCACTGCATATAATAAAGTTATCAATGAATATAATGATTTTATCACTGTATATAATGATTTTATCACTGTATATAAAGATAAAACCACTGCATATAATAAAGTTTTCATTGAATATAATGATTTTACCACTATATATAATGACTTAACCACTTCACATAAAGGTTATACCACCTCATATAAAATGAAAATGACCTTCAGGCAGCTATGGCGTTCCATAATTTACTGTAGTTGCAAAACAGGTTACCAGCTTGGTTTTAATTACAATAGGAAAGTATTTATTGGGGGGGGGGGGGGTCCGCGAGATGGCGTTTAAGATTTAAAAAAACTTTGAGAAAAAAATAGGGTGTGATAAAATAATGCCGTAAAAATACATGTATAAGCTCCATTTTTCATGAAGGTCAGAACAGATTCACAAAAGTACTGGATTCAGTAAATTATTATTTTTTGTTAAAATTTTGATCAAGGAAGCAATTTTAAATGTTCAATCCCTGAACCTGTTGAAAGATAAGATTGTGATGCTGACGAGGGATTCAATAACTAACGACAGAGAAAACGGATATGTATTCTTTACCACGTTAAGAAAAACTACTGGGGTACTAATGCCCAGAAGGCGTAGAATGCTTATTTCTTTCTTTTTTTACTGTAGTACAAACATCTTTATCCTGAATCAATGTTTAAGTAAACCAGGAAGTGGGGAAGGGGTGAATTTTAAAAGTCAGATTCACGGAAAATCAAGTCTGAGACACTTTCATTCATTCGTAATACTAGTATTTCAAGATTACTTGGTGTGTGTGTGTGTATGTGTGGTGGTGGTTGGGGGGGGGGGGGTGTACAAAAATCATGCATTTTTGAGAATTTTTTGAAGAAATGAATGGAAAATTAAATCTATAGCAATAAATATTAATCTTTTCACGAGAATACTACAATTTTAGCATAAGTTTATTTTAATTTTGACAAGAAGATCGAGTTCATTTGTAAATTTATATTCAAAATGAACTCTTGTTAACATTTCATCTATAACATTTATTAATACAAAATAGACTTTTCATTCTGCTTAGGGGATGGGGCTTCCATCTTCTTAGAGAAATGAAACTGTCTAATCTTAAAACCCTGGTTTATTTTCTATGTCATAAATAACCAGTTAATTAATTGGACTATCTGTAATTTCCAACCATTTTGCCAGTTATTGGTGAAGAAAAAAAGACCATGTGTCGCAATCATTTTTTCATGTTGAAGCAACGTATGCCTATTCAGTTGCAACCTCTACCTTGCGATAAAATGCACACTCTAAGAACGTGTTCCATAAGTTACCAAACCTAATGATTCACAGGAATTAAATGATGGAGGAATGATATTAAATGGTAATTATACAGCTTCCCGCATTCTACCTACACGTTCTTAACCTAATTTACGATTCGTTCTTCCTGTATATTAATTAAGAGGACTAAATATTAAATGAAATATACTGATGTTGTGATTAGTAGGGGCAGTAACCTTTATGTTAAAGCCTCCTACAACCTGATCAACTGTTTTTTTGATCTTCTTGGGTGCAGAAGTTCAATCTGGTCAAGTCTGAAAGCCAATATTTTTCAATGGATTCGGTAACAAGTTTTGATGTCGTAGCATCGATCCGACAAGAAGACAAGTTTTCAGCAATTCATTAGCAGCTCGGTGACTGGTAAAAACGGTCTCACTTATCAATTCTAATCAGCATCTTTTGTCTCTTTCTCAATTTATCTACTTAAGCCCCTCATCCGGACTAAAGGAAACTATACCAGTGGTGAAAATTACTGCCCGTCTTTACACTGCTATAAGAGACGTCTTTAACAAGAAAGGGCCTCTTGGTGAAAATCATTAGGAACACCAACAAAAAAATATGTTACAGAAAACCTATAATTTTTGGCTCCTGATTTTTTGTTTCATGCCAGAAGGCAATTACATAGTCTGCTACCAATCCATGTGCTTTAATATTAATTTTTCATCATGTTTTATAAAGAAAAGATTTGGCCTAAGGACAAGATGATGAGCAGAAAGAAATAAAAATAGAAAACTTCTGAAGATAATCTTTTTCGATTTTTTCTTAAAGAAAAGGGTTTTCTCATTTTTTCAAATTACTGGATCAAAATGAACGCAGATAAATGAAATAACACATGCACTTGTATTTAACCTGGTATCTCAGTTTTTAGATTAATTAATTTCCCCCCAAATTTATTATATTATGCTGAGAAAGAGCTATTAAAAGGAATACGGTATATTTAAAGAATATTGAACAAAAAAATAATGTAAACCAGGTGAACAGATATAAACTTAAAAAGGGTCTAGAAATGAATACTGTGCATTTAGAGAATATCAAACAAATAGTTATATAACCCATGTGAATGGATATGAACTTAATTTTATTACACAATTTCAAACCAAATATGTAATTCATAAAATTTTGCAATATTAAATTGCTTGTTCATCAAGCAAAAGTTTTCAATGAACACAAAGGACCACATGTCATTGCACTGATTTTCCTTTTTTCCATGCAGTCCTTTTTTTAAACAATTTTGGTCCTTTGTAATGTCATGAGATGCACTAGATACAGAATGTACCAATAGGATGTAGTTTTCCACAGGAAGTGATGTCAGGAGTTCCACCATGATAACAGACCCAGCCCTGGCTCACTGATAGATCCCTGAGGGTAAAAATCAAAATAGAAAACTGAAGAAAAATTTCTCCATATTTCTTCTGTTGGTGTTGTATTACTTCTACTGATTTGCATCTTCAAAAAAATTTGAAAACTAACCCTGTAGTGTGGTTTTAATTAACTTTTACCAAATTCTAAATTTGCTACTTATTAAAATGTTTAATACATAATAATTGAATTTGAATATTTAAAAATTTAGATTTTTACAATATTTTTTACACATCTTGAAAAAGACATGTCAATGCAAAATTGTCATATCATGTATATTTCTACGTTATATCAAAACTGTGGCAAAGCACCATGTGACCTATAAAAGAAATTGTACTAATCAATAAATAAAAATTAGTGGCCATTACTTAATTAAAAGAATGATAAAAGCAACATAGTGTGAAAATTTAGCCATTATAAAGGGGGAAATATTTTATCACTGAAATCTCTCCTCATTCTTTTGCATACAGTACCAATATAATGAACGATGATTTACCAAATAGACAATGCTTTCTGCATTTCATTTTATGTTTGTGAATCAAAATGACTGAATAAATTCAATTTCTTAACAGATTAAGGATTTATAGATTACATCAAATAAAACACACTATACTCAAATTACAGATTTTATGAACTATATGTTTTGGTGACTGACAAATTATGTTTATAGAATTTTGCTTATGTGGACTTAAAAAAGGTTCAATAAAATGTGCTTGCTACTCAGTTAATGGTTAAGTCAAAGCTAAGTCTGGTAAGATATTCCTTAAGTGAGATGAATGATTCTATCACATACCAAGTTTTTATTTGGTATTTTCTGACAAGATTCTTGGAATGCTTTCAGTAAGATACAATTTTATTGCAATATTTTTATGAGAATCCAAAAATCAATACTGTACAACAGAGTTATGCTCTGTTTCTATACAGAACAAAAACTAATGACTCGAATAGCCTGCAAAGTAAAAATTACTGAGATGAAAGTGAAACAAGATCATACAATTTTTTACCAAATCAAGACTACCTTCACCTATATAATTTTAATTTGTGTCACTTTTTTCTGCACTAAATTATTATATGACTCATTTATAATTTGTTAACTTGTCCATGTTTTAATGGACAAGTAAACAAATTAAATGGACAAGTAAACAAGATTTTGCCACCAGTTTATGGTGGCAAAATCTTGTTTACATTTTTTACAATGTCTCATATAAAATTGATAAAAGAGGCCAAAACAAGTAGAACCAAACTTAAAAACAAATCTTGATTTAAATTTGAATGCTCAAATTTTTTTTAAATAAAAAGAGAAATAATTTTTACACTTATGCACATTTTCCCATAGTTTTTTATTCAACAATTCTAAAGAGGTAACAAACAGAAAAAAGTAATAAAATCATCAGTGTCACTAATGAGTTTAATGTGAATGTAGCATTAACAGTAGAAACTGTACTTTATTTTCTTGTTTTCTCACAATATAGTTCAATTACAGTGCTTTAAATACTGGAAGATGATACATGTTTATTGTGGTATTGTGGTATTACACATATCCAAATGTCAATAAAATTGGTGAACTTTTCTCTGATTTTTATCTGTTAGGGTGATTGGATGACACTATGTATATTAATATTGTAAAGCAGATTACTTTTGCATGTAAACAACTTTTGTGAATTCTTTGTAAACACTGGTAAAATGTTTCAGTTAATTGGCATAAACAAATAAACATAACATAGAAAAATTCAAGGTTACTACTTGGGAGAGCCAACAGAATATATATAAAAAATCACAATGTAAACAGTTTATGTAACAAAATTGTGAAAAAAAATTGAAAGAAAATAATACTTAGCTAGTCCCAAATGACATTTGAAAAGCATTATATAACCACCACCTGGGCATGATCGAAAGCAAGGTTGCCTTGATACACATAATGGTAAATACTATAAATTTTCACAGTGTCTGTATTATATGAATTTTGAGATTGAATACTTTTCGTTATCTCCATGCATGTTTCATGTAGTAGTTTGGGGTATTTGACCATGGATATCAGCCTGTGTAGTTCAGTGAAAGGAGCAACTGACTAGTGATGCAGGGGTCCTGGGTTTGAATCCAGGTCCAGCCATAAATTTTCTATTTTCCTGTTAAACATGTGATCAACTGAGGTAGTGTGGTTTACAGCTAATTAGTTTACTACTATAGTACATGGTGTTTTACACATAGTATATGGTGTTTTACAGTCTTTAGCTTACCACTATAGTAAATGGTGTTTTACATTTTGAATTTTTTTGCTTACCATTATAGTTTACAGTATATTACAGTTTGAATTTTGTTGCTTGCCACTATAGTATTCAGTGTTTTACAGTATGAATTCTTTACCTTGTCACTATAGTATATGGTGTTTTACAGTCTTTAGCTTACCACTATAGTAAATGATGTTTAACAGCTCAAATTCTTTAGCTTTCCATGATAGTGTACAATGTGTCTTTAGCCACTTTAGTATATGGTGTTTTACAGTCTTTCGCTTACCACTATAGTATATGGTATTTTACAGTTTGAATTCTTAGCTTATCACTATAGTATAATGTGTTTTACAGTCTTTAGCTTACCACTGTAGTATATGGTGTTTTACAGTTTGAATTCTTTATCTTGCCACTACAGTATAACTTGCTTTACAGTCTTTAGCTTACCACTTTAGTATATGGTATTTTACACTTTGAATTCTTAGCTTACCACTGTAGTATATGGTGTTTTACAGTTAGAATTCTGTAGCTTACCATTATAGTTAAACTGTTTACAGTATATTACAGTTTGATTTCTGTAGCTGACCACTATAGTTTACAGTATATTACAGTTTGATTTCTGTAGCTGACCACTATAGTTTACAGTATATTACAGTTTGATTTCTGTAGCTGACCACTATAGTTTACAGTATATTACAGTTTGAATTCAGTAGCTGACCACTATAGTTTACAGTATATTACAGTTTGATTTCTGTAGCTGACCACTATAGTTTACAGTATATTAAGTATGATTTCTGTAGCTGACCACTATAGTTTACAGTATATTAGAGTTTGATTTCTGTAGCTGACCATTATAGTTTACAGTATATTACAGTTTGATTTCTGTAGCTGACCATTATAGTTTACAGTATATTACAGTTTGAATTCTGTAGCTGACCACTATAATTTACAGTATATTACAGTTTGCATTCTGTAGCTGACCACTATAGTTTACAGTATATTACAGTTTGAATTCAGTACCTGACCACTATAGTTTACAGTATATTACAGTTTGATTTCTGTAGCTGACCACTATAGTTTACAGTATATTACAGTTTGAATTCAGTAGCTTACCACTATAGTTTACAGTATATTACAGTTTGATTTCTGTAGCTTACCACTATAGTATAAGGTGTTTTCTTTGTCTCTGTGTCAGTGATTTCAGATGATTGGTTTGCTGTTCCATCAGGACCTGTGGGAGTAGTGTCCACAAATATCTCATCTACTACACGGAATCTGAAAAACACATACGCATAAAAAACACTTTCCAATTCTTAAATTAGAAAACTTTCTTGTAACTGGATTGATGTTTGCACCTGGTTTTCCCCCACCCAAAATGCTCTTGCCAATTAATTTATTTATTGTAGTATGAACGGTTGTTTTTTCGAGAAACAAATGTCTTCTGGTTTTCTTTCTCTTCCAAAGCCTATTCTACTCTAAGCAAAATAAAGGTTGATTAGTAGAAACCTAAGTAATTCTTTGTTTTTCATCTTCAAAAATAAGATATTTCTATAGTAATCAAGACATAAATCTTGCACAATTAAATCATGTATGTTATCTAAAAACCTATTTTAACATCAATAAATAATTTTTTTAAGAAAGTCAAAAGAAACAAGAATGATTACGGGTATGCAAAAGATTATCCAAAAACTAACAGCCATGTTATTTTGATATTATATGATACTGTGAATGAAGGTGACACACAGGGGCTTCTTATCCATACTGCTCTCTCTCTACACTTATATATTGAGAGAGCAATATGGATAAGAAGCCCCTGTCAGTGACAAACTCGATAAGTAAAAAATAAAAATGATTTAATTTTAAATTGTGAATCATCTGCTCAGTGCTTGAAACCTGCCATAGACATCATTTATATATGGATATCTGCTGCGGAATGAGAAATTTTTGTGGGGATAACATTTTGTTCATTTTGTGATTTATAATGATTTTGTATGGGTTTATTTTTGTTGTTACATATATAACTATATAAAAATTTCATATTAAGGGATAAAATTTCATAGAGAAATGTTATCAATAAAAAAAAAAAAATTTCTGCCTTTACAGTATATGTGTGTGTGTTCTTAATACTATGTTTTTTGCTTGTAGTACTGTTAATATCTAAATATATACGTGAGGATTTATTATCACATTATTTTGCAAGAAGAATCACTCACAAAATAAAATTACTCTCCTTCATTTTTTTTATAATGCTATTTGTAAAGCTGCAAATAGACCAATAGTCAACTCACAAATTCATGCATTTTCTCATGATTTAACGTCTTTGAGTAATTTCATGATACATGTATTAGGTACTCACATAAAATAAGGAATCTACAGTATTTTAAATTTAAAAGATTGATAAGTTAAAACTATCCCTTGATTAATGATTATATCCTCAAATACATAATTCCTCCAAATCATTCCAAAATAGGTAAAGATAGGCTTTGGGACTACTGAAGGTCAAAAACATCAGTAACAGATTTTATGTAAAATCAAGTCATTGAAGCAATGCAGTTCGTAAATCAATGTTGAAATGATAATGTCTACCCCATTATCACACAATAATACAAAACTCTACTATATTTATAAATAAACTTAATTGACCTTTTAACCCCAGCCAACTCCAACTCTGCTCCTGGCAAACTTTTTTTTGGTCACCCTTTGGCCCATAATTAAATTGTCAGCTAAACAGGAAGTTGGTAAAGAGAATAAAACAGGACTCTATGTTCATAACCTTCAGCTGCATCAGGGACCATGTCAAAATGATAGCCATATTGAAGAATGGAGCCATTAGTGGGAGTTTATTACTGCTGGGGATCAATACAACTAGGTCCTTTGAGACCTAATCTCTTTCAGAACTCATTAGTTATTAGGTGAACATGATACCCCTTTTAGTATAAAAGCTAATTGGTATATACAGTAAGAAGAAAGTGTGCTAAATGCTGCTAATCTGGAGAAAATTAAAAGACATACCAATAACCCTACTGCTAAGTCTTTGATATTGTACACCCTTTTCATGTTTATTAAAAAAATGATTGAAAGAAAAGCATCCGAAGAACAATTAAATGAAATAAAACAATTCACAATCTCATTTTTGTAAACTATATGAAATTGAATCTATACTTGAGGTTGCTTTGAAATGAAGTTTCAAAGAAAATGATCTGCATTTCATCATACAGTGATAATCTCTTCACAGCTGACAGTTTATATCTAGACTACTCAGTGCATTAAGGTTCAGTAACCCTTTGTTCACTCATATACCGGATAAATGATTTTCAAAAAATAAAAAAAAATTTAAAATTTAAATGCACACATTTCAGCAAACTTTGTGGGGTAACATTTCATTACATTTGACATAAACAGCCTTTAAGTGAACCTGACAATTTTATATATAAAGCAATAAAAGTCATTTATCCTAGTGAGAGTTATCTCTCTTATCAGAGGGTCAGTATGTGAACCCTTAAAGACCCAATATTTTTACCGTACGGTTACCTGGGAAGAGGGAGTGGTCTAATTAGTACAGATATTATTTACCTGGAGTGCCCTAATACTCAAGATGCCAAAAATTCATATACACATTGCATTATACAGGAAGTCTTTATGGTGATCATTGTCAACATTACACACGTTTCTTGTCTAATTCTGAATGAAAAAGTGGTGATACCAAATAATACTTTTGCATAAAATTGATAATCTCAACATTTTCATCGATATTTTTTATTAAAAAAAATATCATGTATAAAGAAATATCCTTTTAAAAAAATTATTAAAAAAAATCTCGAGTGTAAGCTACAAAGCAATCATATCAATGATTTTTTAATTGTCAGCAAAAAATAATTACAAGGTATACTGTACGTGTAAATATTGAAAAGAAGTTTTATTTCTCTTGAGTACATTAACAATCTAGAAATTATTTCCCTGGTCGACACTGGTGCCCATGATGTTCATTTACGAATAAGGAATTTAGAGAAAAAGAGAACTATGATTTTGATATTTCTTCCACTACGTGATGAAGAATTATTTAAAATTTTTGTGATCCAAATTTCTTAAATAAAAATAAATGCCATTCAAAGATAGTGCAATTTAAAAATAAACAACAATCTATTCTACACGAAAAACAATATTTATGTAATACATGTATGTGTACTATTTGTAATTTTTTTTACGATTTATATAAAACACCTGCATTTTACAGATAAAAACTTGTGATAAAGGAATCTTCTTAGTTTTCAAACTTAATTCATGCTATCAGTGTCTTATTATCTTCTTTCAACTATTTTGATTCCATTTTGTTGATTCATTTTATTGGGGGTGGGGGTGGGGGGGTCGCTATATTGATCCCAGAAGACGGCGAATTGAGTTTCTGTGGACCCAAGCGACAAATCAAGCGGGGCACATAAAAGAGGTTGTCGCGTGGTCAGGTAATTGCTATCGAAACATCCAATCTCAGAACATCAGGCAGCACAGGTAGCTGGCCTGTCAATCAGATCAGTAGCTATTGTTTTATTTATGATTGACAGGCGGTATATTATTGATCTTGAACCAGGTAGATTTTGGGGGCGTTAACGTAAAATTGGGTGTTTAACCAAATTAAGAACTCAATATGGCTATGCTTTGCAATTAGAATGCAATTTAGCAATCATAAATAATTTTATTTAATCAAGTTTTTGCAAGAAATTGCTTTGAAAAACAATTTGCTTCACCTATTCCATTTTTATTTCATCTTTAATTCAAAAAAAAAAAAAAAAAAAAAAAAAAAAAAAAACCAAGTTTCTTTCCAACATAAAACAGATGGCTAAAAAATCCACTTATGCTAAAGATACCAGTATATTTAATTGGTAAAACCCTGTAACTACAACAAAAAGACAGACAGAAGGAAGTTTTTCAAGGATAATCTTAGCATTGTTTTGCAAAACCTACAGCATGGGCATAATTTCTGCAAATACAAGGAAAAAAAATTGAATTTATATATGCCTTATATGGAATTAAGATTTAAGAACATTTTGCATGGGTTTTATATTGTGAAATTTCTCTGTAAAAAAATGCAAATATGACCTCCACACTAACATTTCAATGCTTATAATTTTACTGGAAGAAATGTCAGAGAACTCCTACCTGATTTCTTCACCAATGTCCATAAAAAGGTCATGTTTACCATCCTCAACTTCATACTCCCAGGCCCAGAGCTGCTCCTTGTCATCACTTCATGTGGTTAAGGACTTAGGTCAGATTAAAAATAGCTGATACATACTGATACTACACTTTTGAATATAACAATTTCAAAAACAACATTAAAAAAAAATTAATAAGTAATAAAAAAATGAATTTCATGAGGCATTGAAAATACTCCTAACCTTGTACATTATTTCTGTTATTTATTTACCAGCAATCACAAAGGGAAAGGACTATCATATGATTTACCTTTAAATGATTTACTTATATATGTCAAACTAGATGATCGACCAGTAAAGACTATATCCAAAAGAGAAATAGAACTGTCTCCTTTACCTACTTCAAGGTCAGAAGTCAAGGTCAACTCTGACGGTGACACTTGGTCTAATAAACCCACTGTAAATCAATTATATTTTGAGTGACTTATTTTAGAAAAACAAAACTCAACACCATAAGTAAGACTAACTTGTCCTTGGTATTCACAAGGACTTTCTCTTTGTCTGTCTAGACAGTTTATCAAAGTTCCTGTAAGCAAGCATTCCGAGAGTATCACAAAAGCAAAATAGTGTCCCCTTAATGGCCCTTATGCTATGGGCCAGTCAATTCTGCCAAAAATCATGGAAGTGGGAAAAAATGTGAACTTAATCTGTAACTCATAAAAAGAGACTCACATACCAACAAGAGATGTTTGTGAAACACTTATGCCCCCCTCCCCCAAATCATTGGCATTTTTCTAAGTCCAAGGGGCATAACTCTGTCCGAAATTGCTCAATCACACCAAAACAAAACTTGACCTATATATTCTTAAGATAAATCTGTATACAAAATTTCATTCCAGTATGTGCAACCTCTGCAAAGAAATTGAACAGAAACTGCAAATAATTGGAATTTTTCTAAGTCCAAGGGGCATAACTCTGTCCGAAATTGCTCGATCGTACCCAAAACAGATCTTGACCTAGATATTCTTATGATAAATCTGTATACCAAATTTCATTTCAGTATGTGCAACCTCTGCAAAGAAATTGAACAGAAACTGCAAATAATTGGCATTTTTCTAAGTCCAAGGACCCAAACTCTGTCCAAAACTGCTCGATTGTACCCAAAACAGATCTTGACCTAGATATTCTTATGATAAATCTGTATACCAAATTTCATTTCAGTATGTGCAACCTCTGCAAAGAAATTGAACAGAAACTGCAAATAATTGGAATTTTTCTAAGTCCAAGGGGCATAACTCTGTCCAAAACTGCTCGATTGTACCCAAAACAGAACTTGACCTAGATATTCTTATGATAAATCTGTATACCAAATTTCATTCCAGTATGTGCAACCTCTGGAAAGAAAATGAACAGAAACTGCAAATAATTGGAATTTTTCTAAGTTGAAGGGGCATAACTCTGTCTGAAATTGCTCGATCATACCCAAAAAAGAACATGACCTAGATATTCTTATGATAAATCTGTATACCAATTCCAGTATGTGCAACCTCTGCAAAGAAAATGAACGGAAACTGCAAATAATTGGAATTTTTCTAAGTCCAAGGGGCATAACTCTGTCCGAAATTGCTCGATCGCACCCAAAACATAAATTGACCTTTATATTCTTATGATAAATCTGTATACAAAATTTCATTTCAGTATGGGCAACCTCTGCGAAGAAAATGAACGGAAACTACAAATAATTGGAATTTTTCTAAGTCCAAGGGGCATAACTCTGTCCAAAATTGCTCGATCGCACCAAAAACACAGATTAGCCTAGATATTCTTATGATAAATCTGTATACAAAATTTCATTTCATTATGGGCAACCTCTGCGAAGAAAATGAACGGAAACTGCAAATAATTGGAATTTTTCTAAGTCCAAGGAGCATAACTCTGTCTGAAATTGTCGATCGTACCCAAAACAAAACTTGACCTAGATATTCTTATGATAAATCTGTATACCACATTTCATTCCAGTATGGGCAACCTCTGCAAAGAAAATGAACAGAAACTGCAAATAATTGGAATTTTTCTAAGTCCAAGGGGCATAACTCTGTCCGAAATTGCTCGATCGCACCCAAAACATAAATTGACCTAGATATTCTTATGATAAATCTGTATACCAAATTTCATTTCAGTATGGGCAACCTCTGCGAAGAAAATGAACAGAAACTGCAAATAATTGGAATTTTTCTAAGTCCAAGGGGCATAACTCTGTCCGAAATTGCTCGATCGCACCCAAAACACAAATTAGCCTAGATATTCTTATGATAAATCTGTATACAAAATTTCATTTCAGTATGGGCAACCTCTGCGAAGAAAATGAACGGAAACTGCAAAGAATTGGAATTTTTCCAAGTCCAAGGAGCATAACTCTGTCCGAAATTGCTCGATCGTACCCAAAACAAAACTTGACCTAGATATTCTTATGATAAATCTGTATACCAAATTTCATTCCAGTATGGGCAACCTCTGCAAAGAAAATGAACGGAAACTGCAAAGAATTGGAATTTTTCCAAGTCCAAGGAGCATAACTCTGTCCGAAATTGCTCGATCGTACCCAAAACAAAACTTGACCTAGATATTCTTATGATAAATCTGTATACCAAATTTCATTCCAGTATGGACAACCTCTGCAAAGAAAATGAACGGACACTGCAAAGAATTGGAATTTTTCTAAGTCCAAGGGGTATAACTCTGTCCGAAATTGCTCGATCGTACCCAAAACAGATCTTGACCTAGATATTCTTATGATAAATCTGTATACCAAATTTCATTTCAGTATGTGCTACCTCTGTGAAGAAAATGAACGGAAACTATTGGTGGACTGACAGCCAACTGACTGACAGACAACAGCAAAGCAATATGCCCTCCCTTCTTCGAAGGGGGGCATAAAAATCAACCCAATAAATATCTAGAAAAAAGTTTTTTTTTAAACAAAAAGTTCAAAAAACCAAGTGGGACAGACAGCTACATGTAGATACATAGATGGAGAGGAAACCTATGTCCACACCAAATTCAATGGTAGGGGATTTATACATAAACATAATTTCTAATGACCAATTCAAAAATATACTCAAAAAATAAATGCTCTCTGACAGTCCAAAACTTGCTTAAAAACAGAAAAAAACTTTTGAAATGATGCTTCAATGTCACAAAAAAAACCTTGTACAATAAGAAAAGCTGCAGTTTCATTGAATGTTTCATTAATGGATATTCCTTAAATCCAAAATTATCTTAGAGATCCCGAGAAAGACAATCCAAAACTTATATTAGAAGCTAAATTTTTTCCAACACTGATTCGTAACAGGCACAGATTAAGGAGATACGAATTTCAAACATATAAATAGACTATGTTCCTATTATAGCTGTAGTTATGCTGTACCCCTATTTTTTTTTGTTGACATACAAAGTTACAAGTTGCTATGTGAATAACAACTAAACATTCCCTCTTTGAACTAATTTTCATAGCCATAATTACGTCTTATTTCATTCCTTCAGGATATCAACACGATCAACCTTCTTGTTTTCTTGCACTGAAAACCCACACTTTCCTCTCAAAATACCAGCCCGCAATAATAAAAAAATGTCAAGATGACAAATTCAACGCTACTGGATTTCCTCCCGCTATGTTTTTTTACCAGTACAAGATGAACATTCATCATGCAAACAGAATGGAAGCATTTCAAAGGATACAACCTAGACGGATGCTGCATGGCATCTGCTGGGATCAAGATGTCGTCAAAAATTCCTATTGATACTAAAACAAAGACAAAAGACTCTGTACTGTTCTCACCACAATTAACCCTAATTTCTAAAAAGTAAAACTTTCATGTTCCCACATGCATTGCACTACAATGGTATGAATTATAAATATGTTTACTGTCATTATTGCATTTGTGTAGAAATATCGCATGTAAAATTTATGGTGACAGTGCAAGAATTTGTTTTGTATAAATTTTCAGTAAAATAATTAATTCTATCATGCAAAGATACGATTAACCACGAATTTGTTTTTTTATAAAACAAAGTTACCATGAACTCCCTCTTTGCTGCAGCTTTTTGTTTTGCCAGTCAATATTTCATCCATAAATGGTCGAAAAATTACGTATCTGAAATGAACTAAATTGCATACAATATTTCAGACTTTTACAAAAATGATCCCCCTACATGACATGCCTAAACAAAGAGAGTGCTAAAATTTCAAGCATCTGCGGTTAAGAGTAGTTGCTATGACAGTCTAGTTTTTAAATGCAAAGTAACTTTTGATCCATTTAAAATAGAGATCTGATATTTGGAAATACATTTATAAGGAGTCTCCATTCTTTAAACACAATGAAGGTCAAGGACATATTTAGAAGTCAAAGGTCAAATATTGTGACATCATCTACTGATTCTTTTAATTTTTTTGCATTGAATATTTTTTTAAATCGCCAAAATATCTGAAACAGTCGGTTCAATGTCCTTCATTTTGACACATTTTAATCTGGGTTCCATTTCAATCATTCTGAATCAATCAATTTTTTGATTTTTTTGTAAAAATTGAATTATACATTTTTTCTTAAGAAAACAAAGTGTAGCATATTGCATGTGAATTTTCAATTTCTGGGCAATGTATGTTCTATCTATTTTTTCACCACATTTTACTTAAATATGCTGGTATCAATATAATTTACTGAAATTTAGTTAAATTACATATAAAGAGAGATTTTGTATCCTACAACAAAATTTCAAAGTTTAAAAAAAAATTGAATTTGAGGAAAAATTTGGCCTATCTATTGTGTACTACCTTAATGGAGATTTTACTGAAATTTTACTTTTTATTCACATAAACTTTATTAATTATTATTTTGCAACTTTTGAATGCTTTACAATTAATATGATAATTTCTGCTATTTTAGCAGTTTATAGAATGCATAACTATATATGCACATTTTTCACTGATTTAATTCATATTCAACACCTTAATTCTTGTAAAAATTGAAACTTTAATAGCAGGAAATCATGTATGATCTTTAAGGTGCACAAAATCTTAATTTACAAGAAACAAAGACTAAAAGAAAACCGAAATGATGAAAAGTGTCAAACATTTACACTCTTGAAAACAGATCAAGCCATATAACAAGGTGAGACTAACACTGTATTTGTGCAGTTTGACAAATCTAGGTTGATGGACTTGACCTAGCTGAGGCTTCATAACTCACCAACTGTGTGGGAAGCACCATCTCCTGGAAATATATAGCTGTCTTCAAGTTTTGTAATATCCCATAATGCAATGCACAGACCTACATTGTGTACAACCTACAGATAAAGAAAAAAATGAAATAACAAAAGTAATTGCCTCGGAAGCTTTCTGGAAGTGATTAGATATCCCATAAATTTTGAGCATTGTCATAAACCTGTCATTTGCATAACAAAATTGAACAGTTATTTTGGAGAATGATGTAGCTTAATTCTTTGCAAAATAATGTCAATATGTTTTGTAGAGGAACAATACGACTACTATGTACAATCAAGAAGATATTTGTACTTGATAAACCCAAACAAATTTTAAGAATCTGCTTTGAGAATAAATAAGATAAGGTACAGTTTCTATACAAATCTGACCTTGTACTTTTCTAAAACATGAAATTGTTGTGAGAAATTAAAACTATAATCATGCTTAATCTGAATTATTCAAATTCCATGCAATGAGATCATACAAATCTCCTTTGCATGTGGCCTCCTAAATGCATTTGAAAAAGTTGTGATGTCATGAACTTTTGCATTTTTCCATATTTCTTTAAAAATTTGCAGAAGTCATCAAATTTCCATGAAATTTTCTTTCAGACAACATGGTTCACATGGACCATATGCATCACCCACAAAGATTTTAAGAAATGTGATTTTTCTAAGATTTTTTACACAATATATATCCAAAAATTAAAGTGGCCAATGGTTGCGGGCATTATTTTCTTACGGAAAATAACCCCAGGAATGAGTCATTTGAGTTTTTTTTTTCTGTTTAAATTTAGACATGTATCAGAAAGGTCCTCCTTAAGTATGCCATATTCTTTCATGGTTTTATCACATTTACATATTCAAGTAATATTATTAAAGCAAATTTCAGAACACTTTTACATCACGTTTTTAGGGCATAATAAAACCAAAAGGGTACCTATTTATTTCTGTTACTTCAAATGTTGCATTAATTGGAGTATACACACATGATGTAAATGAGTTTACATTTCTTTGAAATAAAAAAGAAATCTTAAATTTTTTTTATTAAAAATGAAATATGACTTTTTGATTTTCTAATTACTTTTGATCAAAGGAGTAATTAAAATGTATACTTGTTAATGTTTGAGTTATCACATCACAATAGAAGTGTTGATGGACAGACAGGGCAATATGACTTTTAAAGAACTTTCAAATTTCATGTGGTTCCTAATAAAAAAAATGATTTTAAAGCTATCAGGTTTTGTTCTTGTAATGTAAATTGCTTTAGGTCATATCATTAGAATATGCCATTTTAGTCTCATCAGTTGGAGGGTCTCTATTATAAGAGAACAATCTTTTTTGGTAATTGCAATAGGAAAAGACAACATCTGGCATCATATCTGGGGACATGTTTTCAGGGCATAACTTGTTAATAAAGGTTTTGCCTTACCATGTTATTGGCTTTTAACAATGACTACTAAAGCAATAGAACAGCAGGATTTTTTTCTGTATCATAGTCTGCCTCAAAATCATTGTCACCACATTAAAGTTTAAGTTCCTTGTTAAAGAGAGAATTCACTGACAGGAAGCAAGCACCCATGGGTCACAAGCCTTACAGGCCTACGAGTATCATACGTAATTTTTCCAGACTGATATATAAATTAAAGAGTTCAAATTTTTGTTTTCTTCAAAGTTACCTTAATAAAATTTTGATTTTTTTAATCATCAATTAATTTACTTAGAACAAACCCCCTTTTTCATTGGAATTTAATACTTCTGCACCTGACAAAGTTCTTACAATTTCATGTAAAATTTTATGGTTATAACAAACTCTGATAAATCAAATTGATTTACACCCTGTAGAGGTTAAGAACAACTACTGTAAATTTACATTTTTATAATGAATTTTTATGACCCCCTAAAAATAAATATATAACATTTACATTTATTTTCATCTTAGTTTAAAAAAAGACAAAAGCTCTCCAAGATATATTTTGCAATTAATACTTTAATGAACTTATACAATAGTCCTAAAATTTGGAGTTTAAAATAAAATACATGTATTGTAGTTTAAATCACATACTAGTAGATCACAGCATTCAACGAAGTGTTTGAATTTTAGTTTCTCAAAGATCTTAAAACAAAATGTCAATGTATTAGAGAACAATTACAAAATAATGTATGATTTACTTGGATTTGGCAATGATTTAATAAAGGATTTCAAAAAAAATTATACAGTCATGATAATATTAAATTCAAATCGAAGCAGTATGACATAAAATAATTCAAAACACGAAGATTTGTTGGATGGTCCTGCGATATTTCCTTCGAATACCCCCCCCCCCCCCCCTTCTCTGGTTGTTTGTTAACAGTTTGTTTGTTTTTTTTTTTAAATGATGTGTACGCACATGCTTATTTGCATGTAGGCAGCTACGCGCCTGCCCATGGTAAATATTTTTAACATGAATTTGTCATAATGGTTGTAACAAATTAGGGTTATAGTGAAGTAAATCCATAGTTCCCCAGGACTTTACTTCAAACAAGTTTTACTATTCTATTTTTGTATCTGTCAAGTGGTTCTAGTACTGTACATGTAGCTTTGCTATGATTAGATTTTCGGTCAGAGTTGGGTACATTAATAGATGGTGAAAAATTCACTGGCTAGATGCTTTGATGTTTGCATCATTAGGATTGAGAACATTTATTCTCTTTTTTGAGCAGCATAATTGATCCTCACTTCATCAACCACCTCTAGCCTAAAAACCTAATTGCCAAGCTTGAAAACCTTATTGTCTAGCCTGAAAACCTTATTGTCTAGCCTGTACCTTATTGCTCCAGCCTGAATACCTTATTATCCCAGTCTAAATACTTTATCCCTCCAGTCTAAATAACTTATTGCTCTAGCCAGAATACCTTATTGCTCTAGTCTGAATACCTTATTGCTCTAGCCTGAACACCTTATTGCTCTAGGCTGAACATCTTATTGCTCTAGCTTGATTACCTTATTGCTCTAGCCTGAATACCTTATTGCTCTAGCCTGAACACCTTATTGCTCTAGCCTGAATACCTTATTGCTCTAGTCTGAATACCTTATTGCTCTAGCCTGAACACCTTATTCCTCTAGTCTGAATACATTATTGCTCTAGCCTGAATACCTTATTGCTCTAGCCTGAATACCTTATAGCTCTAGTCTGAATACCTTATTGCTCTAGCCTGAATACCTTATTGCTCTAGCCTGAACATCTTCTTGCTCTAGCCTGAATACCTTATTGCTCTAGTCTGAATACCTTATTGTTCTAGCCTTAATACCTTATTGTTCTAGCCTAAATACCTTATTGCTCTAGCCTGAATACCTTATTGCTCTAGCCTGAATACCTTATAGCTCTAGCCTGAAAACATTATTGCTCTAGGCTGAACATCTTATTGCTCTAGCCTGAATACCTTATTGCTCTAGCCTGAATACCTTATTGCTCTAGCCTGAACACCTTATTGCTCTAGCCTGAACACCTTATAGATCTAGCCTGAATACCTTATTGCTCTAGCCTGAATACCTTATTTGCCAGTTTCTTGTTGAGTGCCTCAATGACAGCATCATTAAATTTGATGTGGAATAGCCAGGGTGGAATCCTGATAGTGTCCTTCATTTCTGCCAAAACAAACATGATGATATCTGTAAAAAAGCCAGAAAATGTTCCAAGTTTAGAAATTTGAATGTAAATAATTTTCAGCCGTACTGTACACAGGTCAAAGAAACAGAAATGACTGTAACAGTCCAAAACGTAAAAGAATTGGTTGCATCATCTGCAATTTTATTTAAAATTTGTAAGTCAATCGCAAATCTATTATAAAGTCAAACCTTAATACATCAAACCTCATTATCTCGAATTCGATGGGACCGAGAAATAACTTTGAGATATCTGAGGGTTTGAAATATTGAGGGTAAAATACTTAAGAAATATGTACGTGGTTAGGACTTCCCAATCACTTCGACATATCCATGGTATTTGAGATATCCGTGTTTGAGATTCTGAAGTTCAACTGTATGGTTGGAAAAAAAACATTGCAATATCCAAGGGATTGACATGTTGAAATGGTCATTAAAATTCAGAATTAGGTCAAGGCCACAACTCTTTTTAATATACTGGTGTTTGAGATACTGAAGTTAAGCTGTAGTATTCACATATGACTAATATTCTATACAGGGTTATTTTCACCCCGTGTTATTTTCGCCCTCTCACACTTGCAAACAATTTTGCCCCATTTTAAATTCGCCCAATCACAATTCTGTTTAAGAAATTATACTGCCTTCTTTGAATTTGCCTCGTCTTAAATTTGCCCACTTATGTCTAGGGCGAAAGGAGCGAAAATAAAACAGAGGCGAAAATTTCCCTGTATACAGTACACAAAACATGAAGTCTGTAATAAGACTGTAGATAGCAGAGATTTAAACTAGAAAACTGACATAGTCATAAACCATCTATACCCAACAGCTCTACTAAAAAGTGACCTTACTCCATTATGTTTGTAGGAAAATGTACAGACATGCAATTCCTGGATTTTACAATGAAAAAAATATTTGGGTTTGTGCATAAAATTAGGGTGGGTTGGGTAACCATAAACAAACATATTTTTTTCTTAGGCCTTACAGTAAAGTACTTCTGTACAACATTTGAAAACATTAAGATGAAAACTGGATAACTGTGTCAACTAAGACATATATTATATATATATTCAGACATAATATTTATATAAGTCAGACAATAGTTAAAAGAGGAATATACAGTATAGTTAAGGTAAATATAGATGATTTTTGTGATAAAAAATAAATTCTTAATCAGGATGGGTGATTCTTTTTAGGATTTTACTATTGCACAAATGCAATATAGGTAAAAAGTATATTATTGAGGACAATTTCAGTAGCTGAGTGCCCATGGCAAAACATCTCTCCGGTGCCTTTAAATAACTATTACCTCAGTGATGGTCCTCCAGGTGCAGGAGTTTTGCATAGATTTAGCAATCCTATCATTTAAAAACTCTTTTTTCCACTACAGAAACTAGATCAACAGAATAAATCCTGTGCTTGATTCAAGAAGATCCTCACGTTGAGGTCATTGAAATAAGAATATCATTACAGTAAATCATCTCTATTGTTTACACCTTTATTGCAAATACCCAGTTATATCAAAGTCCAAGAAGTCCAGTCATTTGGATGATGAAACAAATCATTGATTCACATGAAATAGTGAAATGCTCTTGGCTATCCTTTTCTGTTTCTTATAATCGGGTTATACTGTTATCATTTACTGCTTGATGCCAAATAAGGTGAAAATCCAACTTAAATTCTTATTGATTGCAAAAAGATGGAGACATCTTACACTTAATTTGATCTATGGAATGTTAAGAGTAAATTTTTACTAATAAGAATTAAGGATTAGATAGAAATGAATACCCAAATTCTTGTCAATTCTCAGAAGGTACAGATAAACAAGCTGAATTGCCCAGCAACAAAGACACTGAGAACAGTTTTTTGCCTAATGAATCAGACGATATCAACCCTCTTAAAGCACAATCTGTATGAACCGCATTTATTGCAGACTCTCGGGCTTGAAATTGGGATGAATCACTATGATCACTGAGAAAATTATTGTCATCCTCTCTCAATACTGCATTACAGGGACCGCTGATCACTGGTTTGTATATAATGGCAGTTGAGACCGGCTTCAGTCAAGTGTCGGCCATCTCAGCTTCTCCATGCTTTATGATTACTAATCTGCCATATTCAAACAGACAATTAAAGCATCAATAATGACATAAGCCTTGAACTCAAATTCTATAAGTCCTGTAAGCTGTAGACAAATCTATATCTAAGAATTAAGTACTTACAACATCGTACATTATTAGTAAATACACAGTTAAGTTTGACAGTCAATTGCATTGGATTTTTTTTTTATCTATCCATTTATGTTTAACATACATATGGTAACCTAAGCATTATTCTTCATTTATATTTTCTGTGTTTTAATTTTTTAATAAAGTGTTCAAATGTTTTCAAATGTCAGGTATGTTCTGGGAATATAAGGAAAGATATTTTAATGTATTTTTGAATGACAATTGATTATTCATGCAGTGGTTATAATGATACTTTTAAGATATAATTAATATTGTTTGAAAGCACCTATATACATGTGGGTGGATGTATGTTGACATTTCTGAGGATATTATTGTATGGACTGATATATATCCATAAATATATAAGAAATGTGTGGGTGTTTTCCCTCAGGTAGTAGCTGACTATATTTGCACAATATAGATGCCAGCATAGAGGGCAATGACAGAATACTAGTAGAACATGAGATATGATTATTTGTCATTGTCACAAAACAGTAATGAGTTTGTCATTAGGGGAAAAAATAGAAACAGATACTAGCTGTATTAAGAAGTTTCTACAAAGTAATATTTCCTGTAGTTTTACCAATATTTTCCTCAGTACTACTTGGATCAGTACTGTCCCTCATCTCAAATGATATTGTTTCTTTAATTATAAACTTTATAAACTATAGGAAACTTCAAACACTGTTCAGCTTGTTCAAGAGGGGTAACTCTCCATGATCATTTGAGAGAGTTGTCAGAGTATATGTGTTAATGATGATATATATTGTAGGTGATTGTGGAATGAAATATTTTTACTACAATTAATGTATATGAAGAATTTAATATTATGGATATGTACATATACCCCTTCCCTCCTCCCATAATTCAGCTGCAGCAGCTGCAGATGAACAATAAGGATTCACGAGCCACTGCCCCTGACAGCATGAAACTCACAGTATCCAAGTCAAAGAAGCGAAATATAGGGTACTTATAACCTTGACCTTCACCTTGACCAAATATATTTCAATGTGACTAACCATCTTATCCAGTAGATGTAGAGAATTGACTCAGGATTTCTGATTAAAGGAATAATATACAGTGACAACTCATTTTGACTCCCTATGTTAACTAAAGGCACTGTGAATGAGCTGACTGAGCTCATAAAATAATATCCCCCACTGCAATTTTTTTTAAAGTGCCCATTCGTAATTTTTTTTTTCCAATGTGACCTTGCAATTTTTTTTTCTGTCTCTTAATGTTTAACACACATATATGCTAAGCAATTCTTATATAATACATTTATATATTACTATGTTTAATTTTTAATAAAGTGTTCAAATATTTTCAAATGTCAGGTATGTTTTTGGTATATAAGGAAAGATATTTAAATGTATTTTTGAATGATAATTTATTATTCATGTGATGGTTATAATAATACTTTTAAGATATAATTATTGTTTGAAAGCACATATTTACATGTGGGTGGATATATGTTGACATTTCTGAAGATGTTATTGTATGGTGTTATATATCTATAAATATATAAGAAATGTGTGGGTGTTTTCCCTCAGGTAGTAGCTGACTATATTTGCACAATATAGACCCCAGTATAGAGGGCAATGACAGAATACTAGTAGAACATGAGATATGATTATTTGTCATTGTCGCAAAACAGTAATGAGTTTGTCATTAGGGGAAAAAATAGAAACAGCTAGCTGATACTACATTGTACATGTAGGTGTATTAAGAAGTTCCTACAAAGCAAAATATTTCTTGTATTCAAACTATACCAATATTTTCCTCAGTCCTAATTGAATCAGTACTGTTCCTAATCTCAAATGGTATTTTTTCTTAAATTATAAACTTTATAAACTACACATGCTATATAGGAAACTTCAAACACTGTTCAGCTTGTTCAAGAGGGGTAACTCTCAATGATCATTTGAGAGAGCTGTCAGAGTATACATGTTAATGACGATGTATATTGTAGGTGATTGTGGAATGAAATATTTTTACTACAATTAATGTATATGAAGAATTTAATATTATGGTTAAGAATCCCTTCCCTCCTCCCATAGTTCAGCTGCAGCAGCTGTAGATAAACAATAAGGATTTACGAGCTCTTGTCCCTGACAGCATGAAACTGTATCCAAGTCAAAAAAAGCAAAATATAGGGTACTTATAACCTTGACCTTCACCTTGACCAAATATATTTCTATGTGACTAAACATCTTATCCAGTAGATGTAGAGGATTGACTCAGGTTTCCTGATTAAAGGAATGATATATATACAGTAACAACTCATTTTGACTCCTCAGGGGTTGAAATTTTCCTGGAAAATCCACTAGCCCAGGGGCTACTGATCAGTAAAAAATTACTAGCCCAAACCTCAAACTAAGTAGCCCAAAAAATTTTTTATGCAAAATGAGAACATAACAAGTTAAATTAAGTTTCAAATGCTGTGGTGACAGTAACAAGTTAAACTACAATGTAGTTCTCATTCAAAAGAAACCAGTCTATATAGAAAAGCAAAAGTAAACTGACGAGAATTTTTTTTCCGTTCTGCTAGTCTGATAGACTATCATTACATTTAAATTAGCTAGCCCAAGTGACCTTGAACTTGCTGGAATGACCTTGGTCATGGTCAATACACTCTCAGATCATATGCAACATTTGGGATAAGTATAAGCCTCTTATGTTCTCCACTACCAGATATAGACAAGGCAGGAATTAAAGATTTTTCTACAAGTGACTTGAACTTAATTAAATGACCTTGGTTCAAGGTTAGGACATACTCATAAGTCATAAGCAATCTATGTATGAACTCCCAATGTTTCTCCATAAAGATGTTGTACAGCTGGGTATTTACATTAAAGTCATAATTGTACTGTAATATATTAGTCCTATAATATTATGACACTCACACAATATATTAGATTCATGTTCTAACATAGAAAAATAATATTGAATGCACTTGGGTCAATCTTTGTGTAGTTAGCTAATTTTGTGAAAAATTCACACTGTTAGTGAGCTCTTGCACTATTGCAACTAACAGTTTTTACAAATTTGAAATAATTCAGACATTTGTATTGTAAATCTGTGGTGTTCTTACACATTGTTATATTTCTAGTGAATAAATCTGAGTATTGCAATACATGTACATTTCAAGAGTCATGATGCAATACACCAATACTTTGGTATTTGGTTAGCTGCAGATCTGTATCTCACTCTCTCAGGTCTGTAAAAACTGGGATGGACAACCAGGGAGTTACAATGCAGTGTATATTTATTGCACACAAAAAAGTGCGCTTTTCTCAATTTATTTCTCCATATATTCAAGCTGCTATCTCAAGTATTACTAACCATGTGTTTCTAACATATTCTATTTACTAATATTCTATTTACTAAACATTCCCCCAAACCTTTGTTAATAGCCCTCCTAGGACCATAATTTCGCTATTAATACTGGCTATTTTGGGTGGCAAGATGATTCGGTCCAACACGTTTTGTGCATCTACTGTACATGCATTTTTGTTGTGGAAGTAGTAAAAGAATATGGTAGGAACACAGGTTAGTAATATTTTGAAATATACAAAGAAATTAATCGAGAAACAGTGATCTTTTTTTTGTGCGTAATATACTCTTTTTTCTATGTCTAGCACTGTTGCTCATAATATACCGGCATGCTTAAATTAAAATTATCTGCACCTGTTTATTTCACTACATCAGCAATATATGTACATGGAATGAATTTTGACAAAAACTTTAGGAGAAGTAACTTTTGAAAGAATTTTACAAAATTTCTATTTATACACATGGCAATACTGATTTTAGAAATTAAAAAAAAAAATCAATAATTAAATTATTCATCTAAGCATAGTCTTCTTGTGTACCAAGTCTTCATGAAATCAGATTTAAACTGTAGGAGGAGTAGCATTTTGAAAGAATTACACAGATATCTCTATTTTTAGTAACCATGGCAACACCGTTTGTCATAATCAAAAACAGAGTTATGTATCCTAGTATAATTACAGTCTACTGGTGTGCCAAGTCTTATTTAAATCAGACAAAACCTGAAGGAGGAGTAGGATTTTGAAAGAACTTCATGGAAATTTCTTTTTTTAGTAACCATGGCAACACTGATTATCAAAACCAAAAACAGACACAAAGAAATTTGTATCTTAGGAATGTCTACATATATTCTAGTATTATTGAAATCAGACAAAGACTGTACAAGGAGTAGTGTTTGAAATAATATCAAAGAAATTTCTGTTTTTACTAACCATGGCAACACCCTGTATCAAAATTAGAAACTGATAAACAGAATTATGTATAAAAGTCTGGTCTTCTTGTGTAGCAAGTCTTATTGAATTGGACCAAAACTGTAGAAGGAGTACTGTTTTGAAAGAATTTCAAACCATGTCAACACTGTTTGTCAAAGTCAGAAAAAAAGAATAAACAGAATGATGTATCTTAGTATAGTCCACTGTGTACCAAGTCTTGTTGAAATTGGACCAAAAGCATCCGTTTGCGAATTTTTTTACAGACAGGCAGACAGAAGATGAACACCGTACTAATGTAAGCTCTCTGACCAGTAGAGCTATTAAGAGGCCCAATTAGGCCACAATTACACCTGTATATTCAAATGTAAAACTTTGACCCACTGTTATACTCCGCCCTAACCCCGGGGGTCATGATTTGACCAAACTTGATTCTACACTACCTGAGGATACTTCTGTATTAAGGTATTTCCACCCTCACAATTTTATGGGTTCAAAGTAGAAAAAGTGCATTTATTTTCACTGAATATTGTTTAATTTAATTAATAATTCCAAAAAATGTATAGGCTAGCTGCCATATTTTTTTAAAATGCAAGACAAAAATAAACATAAGTATATTTCAGCATTAAAAATTCGTACATTTTTTGTCAACATTATTATTAAAATTATGTCAAAACTGGTTCTGATCAAATAAATAAGTCTGATACTAAAAGTTCCAAAATATCTGTTACTTAAAAATATATTTGAATTGTGAATATCAGGGAAACTATTTTAAATCAGAAGTACAATAAAGAAAATGCCTGAATGGAGATACATGAGAAGGAGTTATTGCCCTTAGCACCACTTTTTAAAAGATTAAATAGTTAATTAATAATACATGTAAAAGGAAATATTTAATTTTTTATTTCTTAATTTTACTAAACAATTATTTTCATAACACCTATTGAAAAGCTTTCTTCCAAAAGATATATTTTAATTGGGTATGCATTTAGATTAATAACAGATTTTGCAAAAACCAGTCTGACATCACAGGAGGGTGGAAATACCTATATACTAACGGGATAAGCAACTCCTTTAGCGCCATGTTTATTTACCCAAAACGGCACACACAACACTGCAAGTTTTTCAATTACGTTTTTCCCCAGTAAAAAGCTTGTTTTCTGATTGATGAAATCTGTTCTTTCTGTGTATCGGAACGGATATTTAATAAATTTTAAAGTACATATTATAAAATAATTTAGATATTAAGTAAACAACTACCAAAATCAGCGATTTCTCGGAAAAACGGCCGATCAGGGGCACGCACTGATTTTTAAATAAATGTAATTACTTCTAAGATAAGGAGTAAAAAAAGTGCTAATAACAAATTTTGAATAATTTTTTGATAGATAAATTAAGGTTTTATTCTGAAATATTTGATAGCAAAAGAGATATATTCAATTAAAACTGACTTGCGAAATCCCGCAACTTATGAGATATCGCGAGACTTGCGAGAGTTGCCTATTCCGTTAGTATATAGGTCCCTGCTTAATATGACTGAAATAATAATGGCTTAGCTGTTCTTGAGAAGAAAGATTTTAAAGATATTTCCTATATATGTTCCTATTGTAAACTTTGACCCCCTGTTTTGGCTTTGTCCTACCCCCAGGGATTATGATATGAACAAACTTGAATCTAGGGTATGTAATGAAGCTTTCACATAAGTTTCATCTTTTCTTGCTCAGTGGTTCTTGAGAAGAAGATTTTTTTTGAAACTTAAAACTTTTATTTTCACTAAAGCCCCCACATGGGGTATGTTAGTACATTTTAAAAAAAAAAAAAGGCCACCAAATTTTCACCAATTCTTAATTATCTCCCCTTGAAAGAGGGTGCGGTCCTTCCTATGAACAAACTTAAATCCCCTTCACCCAAGAATGATCTGTGGCAAGTTCGGTTGAAATTGGCCCTATGGTTCTTGAGAAGAAGTAAAAAATCAATCTCCTATGCAGAGTTGTTGTTCGTTCCTCTCTCAGACAATAATGTATGAGCCGATGGTAGAGAGTGGTAAAAAAATGTGAAAAGTTTACAGACTACTGACGTTGGACACTCTTTGATCAGAAAAGCTTAATTATTTCTCAGGCACTTGGGGTATGGAACCCCCCCCCCTTTCCATTTATTTTTCTTTTTAAATCTGGGGTTGAGTCACCTTTTTCCTATTTTTGTATTCTAATATATAAGCTGGTGCACATCAACAAAATTTACCCTAGATGCGGGTGATTTAATCGAAATATGTACAAATCGGGGGCACATAAAAATTAAATGGAAATATGAAAAGGAAGAAGAATGTATTACGAATTTATTGATGTATGCATATTCCATGTTTTCTTATTCTTTCAATAAATAATCAGGCGAAGTTTAAGCGAGGTGAGGCAGATGATGAGAAAAGAGTTGCAAGCCTTCTCTCTTTTTATGTATTAGTCGAAAACGATATATTTAAAAACAGCTTATAGAGACAAAAGGGTTACATTATTGATAACATACAGTGCATATTAGAATACAAAAACTGGAAAAAGGTGACTCGACCCCAGATTTAAAAAGAAAAAAATGGAAAGGGGGGGGGGTCAATACCCAAAGTGCCTGTGAATTATTTTGCTATACTTATTTCAAAGAAGTATTAAATTACTTACATGTAGTTTTTTTTTTCTATGTCAAATCATATTGCTGAACTATTTCATCACAATATTGAAGTCAAACACATGGGGGTTTGGAAAAGTGAAAGTAGAGGCATTGTGTAAACCTAGTCCTCATACAAATTCTTTGTTTTTCTACATACATAAATAATGTAAAGCTTTCAACGATGTAAAACTTTAAAAATAAGAGTAGTTTATCTCTTTATCGAAGTATCAATCTTTAAAACTTTCAAATGAGTAAAGACGCGTTTTTCATTTTATACACGAAATCTCTACGAAAGGTTTACTATAAATTGGAAATGTCATCCGGGAGGTTAATATCACGTGACATTGTGCGGCGTGGTGTAGTTTGCTAGGCCTCTCTACTTTTATTGTTGTCGAAGGTTTAGAAGAAAAAGAAAGGTTTGTAGTTAAAGTCATGAGTATGTCGATTATAAGTATTTGTGAAAAACTCGAATTTTGCAAGAATATACGAAATATTTTCGACATCTGATGAAGTGACATCTTGATGTGCTGTGCTCCATTTTGCTATATTCCATCCTCTTTCGCTTTGAGTTACTGAGTGAGTTACAGCGTGTACACTGTTAAGTGCTGATAGCCTGATTGTTGCATTTTTGTGCAAATATTTGCAAATAGAAATTCACGCTGCCTAACGTAGCTCCACATTGCCAAAACTATAAATATATGCATCTTTAGCAAGTTTAGAAAGAATTGTTTCCCTTTAGTCAGATCTAATGTGGTGCAGTCATGTTTAAAGATATACACGCTATATAAACGCGATTTTTATGTGAAACAAAATGATTAAATGATTTGAGAAACATGATGTGTAATAAAAAATAATTGCTTTCCACAAAGTTTTACTAAATAAGTCGTTGTAATTACAAAACAATTAAGCAAGATCTGCAATTAAGAATTCAACCTATTCATGAATATTGATGAAGGAAGTGCGTAGACAGTATATAGACACGCATGTCCGCGGGAAATCATAGACAACGAGGTATGTTGCATTTTGACTACGATTTTGAATAAAAGTTAATATCTGTTATTACAGAGTAGATAGTTAATACTGGTTTTTTTTCAAAGATAAGTATCTTTAAGCATAAAATGTATGCCATCCATGTCAAAAGTTATTTTGTATACCAAATGGCCTACTTTGTTTTCTTGACGCCATTTTTGTTTATCAATCTAAAAGTAGCGATGGTGTCACATGATGCATAAATTTAAAATAGGGGCATTACTTTCCTAGGAGGATAATAATAATTATAATTTGAGATCTTTATAATGCGTTCATTTCCAATTGTGTAATTTACAATATTTTCGTAACTTTATTTGGTAAACAAAATAAATAAATTCCCAGCTTTATTTTTAACTGACGCAAGTTATAGCGTGCATATCTTTAATATTATTTGAATATTTTCCATTAAATTAGTTCCACTTCCAAGATTGTCATATGATAAATTATTTGACAACTATTTGATCTCGTTGTTAATTAAGAATTCTCCTTTATTATCTACGATGGAATCTCTACAGTGTGTAATGCAGGATTAGTATTACAGATATAGATGACATTCACTTAAGTTATTTCCCTTTGCAGAGTCTCTGGGGTCAACCAGCTTAAAAAACTATTTTCCCTCTATAATATTACCAACTTTATGGGGCAATGTCTTACAAATGAAATGAAATCTATGAATATGTTCATTAAGTATTTTTATGTTGCTCCATACTATGGCAATACAGGAACGAATCAAAATTGTCTGATAGTGTTTGAAGGTTGAAAATATTTACAGGTAAGTTACAATGGATATGGTGAGAAAAATGAATGTTAAGCTGACAATGGGAGATAACTCTTAAGAATGTGAAATTTGTCTATTGTTCAAAGTTGACACTTTCAAGTCTCTTAATTTGCAAAGATTTATCTTGGGTTTTTTCCTGTGTTTTTAAGACAAATACTGTACATACCCCAATTATAATGGCCCAGGGTGCTTGAAAACTGAGAACAGGTAGTGATCTACCCTTTATAAGTTTTGATGCATGTATCTAAAACGAGGAGGATGTAAATATTAAAGTGTATTATTATGTATTATAGTAGGAGAGGATGTCAATATTGAAACACATTAAAATAATGTTTTATAATACTAATATTTTACTACATTGGTAAATAGAGTAAAAGAGCAACTGTGATTACCGTTGAATTTATATTTGAAAAATAATGTATAATCAAATATGAGTTAAGACACTTAGCAAATGAAATATTGAGATTTTGGCATTGGCACTTATTGTGGCAGATATGGTATTTGGTAAGGGTGAAAAATGAAAATCTGTAGAAATATAAGTGTAACTTTGTGAGTGCAGTTGTAATAATTTAAGGAATATACATTAAAACATGATTCAACAATTCAAATATAGGTCAATCCTTGTTTTTTTTTTATTCATTATTTATTGGCAATTTTGAATTCTGCAAATGCTCAGCCTAGAAAGTGACAAAAGACAATACAAAGCACCATGATACATTTTGCATGCTGTAATTATATTCATGGCTATATTGTATGATTTCTACAATTTTAGGTCAGAATGGCTGATGATGCAGCAATGGAGGAGAAGTTGTTAGCTGGTGATGAAGTGAAGAAGGATACAGGTAAAACTGATATTGGATAATCAAGTACTGTGGTATATGTTTGTCATTTTTACTCTTGATAGACTTGTTTACAAGTTGAAGCTTTTGCACATACATTTTAAACCTAGATTTGAAAAAAAAAATTTCTAATTTAGTTAAGGTGTTGAAAAAAGGTTTACTTAATAAAATGGTTTTAATGACCATGAATAGATCTGTGTAATGCAGGTTTTCCTTGTCAGTTGACGTCTGTAATTTGAATTAAGAAACTTGATCTAAATTATAGACACGATGGATACAACAGAGAATGCAGAGTTAGTGGAAGTGAAGAAGGACGATGCTGAAGAGGAGGAGGAAGAGAAAGGAGAAAAACAACCTGAGAAACGAGAAGAGGAAAACACTCTGTTGACAAATGGTTTGTTGCTGGGATAGGTTATAATCAAGAGGAATTGAAAACTTTAGAAGATTGATGCTTAAATTTTAAGAATTAATTTGCACAAGTTCATTTTGCATTATTTTATCCTACCAACAATACTTTAAACAAAAATCTATCTCAGTGCTGGTCATGATTGTTCTCTTAGTAAACTCTGGATTAGTAATATAATATAGAATATTTCCTACTGAAAAAGAGATATAAAAGCCATTACAAGAGATTTTTGATTGATAATTGATATTCACACATTAGTGAAGTACCGATTAATCCATTATCTAATTGAAATTGCCTCCGATTATAGATATTGATAATCAATTAAAATTTTGATATTTGATTAATCAAAATATTAGATAAATGTAAATTATTCATATGATTTCTTGATTCATTTTCCTTTGAAAGTAACTAAATCCTAAATAATGATATCATAAGTAAATCCAATGATGCAAAATACATCAAAAATGCATTTTATACGGATTTTTTTTAAAGTTATTTACTCTTCATTCAAAAAAAAAAATGTATATAATACTTGAAATTAATCAGTTATAGTGCATCCAATTATTCCGATAATCGATTACGAAAAAAAATCTGATTTCCCATCACTATCACCCATGTGATTTTTAGCATCAAGCACTGAACAAGGTTCTCATGAGATGTTGTTGCACATTTAAGTTCAGAACATGTGTTAGTTTTACAGTTAATCAGATATACAGTCAAACCTCGTTATCTCGAACTTCATGGGACCAAGAAAAAACTTGGGAGATATCTGAGGATTTGAGATATCAAGGTTAAAATACGAAAGGAATATGTGATTTGGACTTCAAATCGCTTCGACATATCCATGATATTCGAGATATCGGTGTTCAAGATACCAAAGTTCAACTGTATTTTTATTTTTTGACAGCCATCAAAGGACCCATCAGACTTTCAGTTGTCCTAATTAAAGATCTGAGTAATCATGACCTTCATCAAGTCCTACACAGATGTTCTAAAGCTACACTGGAAATGGAGAGGAGAAGGGGGTATTAAAAAATCTAACAATTTTTGAAACATATGATATTTTGATGATAATTAAATGTAATTATTATGTAGGGTGAATTCACCATGCATTGGACAACTTTAAGCATTTAACTTGCCTCAAACCTGAATGATATGACTTGTTTTGTGTTTAAGCAGAAAGGAACGAGTCCGTATTGGGTGAGTTTTGTCAATGATTGATAATTTTGTAAAAAAAAAAAAAAAAATTAAAGAAATTTTTTTTCAAAGTTTGTAATAATTATTTTTAGAATTTTTTTAACTCGTTTGCTCATTTCACCATGCATCGGGCACAAATTAAACATGGATCAGACACTTTCCGATGCATGGGTAATCACTTCCCTTTTTGTATAGAGATACATATTTGATATCCAAATCCAACTGACAGCTGTTTTTGCATAAAAAAGAAAATATAAATTCAACATATTCATTGAAAGTACAAATTATCAATATATGAATAGAAGAGGGCTCAATTTACTTCTTCAAACTAGAAGATGATAACCCCTGAGACCAAGGCAGAAGTTGCCATATAAAGAGATATTGCAAGGCCTTTCTGAGGCAATGTGGTGTGACTAAAATCTATCCACATTTGTTGATCGATATAGCCATTCAAATTAAAAGAGAAGAGCTAATTTTTCTAAAATATTTTTATGTCACTAATTAAAAGCATTTTGAGTGTTCTAAGGGCCACCGTGATAAAGGTAGGACACTATTCCGGTTCAGTTTACCGTTTGTCTGATACATGATGAATATTGTCCGATGCATGGTGAATTTTGGTTCATTAAAAAAAATTTAATGATATTCTCTCATTAAATAGCAAATTGTGTCACTAATTCATATTTTTAATCGGTCTCTGATGCATGGTGAATTCACCCTATATTATTATATTAAAATTTTCTTTCTGTCAAATACAGTGTTCTAACATTGTGGTTTGATCCATGGAGATCAATTGGAGCCCTGGCTATTCTCAAGAAGCTTGCAAAATTACAGTTGTCTGGAGAAGATTTTAAAATGGAGTGTCCAAAAGCTTTGGCTTCCATGCTTGGTACGTCATTGCAATATTGAGTTTTAAGTGTGTATGTCTCTGGGAAGGCTATAAGCATTGGATACACCATCTTCGCTAGCCAAGGGTTTCTGATCCACTTCTTTCCTCATTAACCCTTGACCTATGGTGCTGTCAAAAGTTGGTGTTGTTTATGTCACGTGATCTCTAATCTTTACCACATACGCACAGATTGTGTCATCAACAGAAAAAAAAAGCGTATTTAAATGTTAAAGAATGATTAACAAGCCAGTATCATGCGATGTTTATTTATTATGTAAGATGCAAATCTGTATCACAATATATTCCTGATCACATTATGTGCACATCTGCTAAAAGTTGAATGACACCATAGTTATTTATAGAATGGCACGTTATCATAAGGAATGCTGTTTACTTGTGTTTTTCATTCTTGAGACTAAATAGTCTAGATATATCCTGAATGGAAAAATCTTCATTTACAAAAGCATTCACTGATTGGTCAAACAATATCAATCGACTCCAATCACAACTCTAGAAAAAATCCCAACTTTTGGCAGCACCATAGACCAAGGGTTTGTAAGGAGAGTAGCGGATCAGAAACCCTTGGCTAGATGTGGATAAACCTGTTGAAAATGTTGCATGATTTGTAAGACATTGTGTTTATTTATTTTGTTTGTTTTCCTGCTCCAAATGGTCTATTTTTATGAATTGAAACCTGTATTTACATGTCCTTTATCATACATGGAAAAGGATTTTTTTGAGACTGATTGCTTTTTTATTCTATTTATAGGTTCACAGAAGATAAAGGAAAAGTATCCTGATGCCAAATTTGGTAAATATTGACAAAAATATCAGAGCAGCAGCACAAATCGTCGGAGGGGTTTATATTTTGTTACCAGCTGCTATACTATTCCAAAAATTTCTTTCCCAGGAACTTTCAGATAATTTGTACTAAATTGAAATGATCTATTTGAACAGAAAAAAATAGCCATATACTGAATATTGAAGGCTTTGTGCCAAATATAATATTTGCATATTTAAATGTTCTTTTGAATTTTGAGCAGTATAAACATGCATAATGCTCTTTTCATTGACAGAACTTGTTACTCTTCAGTGTTGTGTGCATGGATGCTGACTTTGCTAGATACTGGCATATGTCACCAAATGAAATAAGATTATAGAAACCACAATGGTTTCAACTTAACCTTGTCACCCCCTCTAATGGACTGTTCCATTCGAATTTAACTGGTCAATACCACTCAGATACGTTAACCACTAAAAGGGGTGACAGGGTTTTGATTTGACTTGTGAATTTACAGGAAATAAAAATAAAACTCTGTATGTACATGACATACCACAAGAAACTACTGAAGAGGTTTTAAGGGCCATGTTCCCAGATGTTTCTAGTGTCAACATGCCCGTCGATAAAGAGGGGAAGAAGCTGGGGTAAGTGCTAGCCACTAGCCACCATGGCAGGTGCTTTCATTCTACAGATATTTTCAGACATGCAGTGAATTTTGTAATGCTCATAGCCAGTGTGTACTGTCTGTGTGTGTTTGAACAGAGGAAGAGAGGTAAAGGTCACTATGCTTCATTGTTTTAAGTAAAATAAATATTCTTTTCCTGCTGTTGTTCTCAGCAGCTGAAGTGTTCACAGAAAGTTGAACAGTTATGTCAAATTTTTTTAAAGTGTAAAAATTCAGAGGAAAGAAAAACAGTGAATAAATAGTTGAATTTTGGGTTGAATGTCAGATTTATATATACCCCTACATGAAAAGCTGCAAAATGCAGATGAATGACTAAAAGCTTGAATTACATTGTAAAAAGCAGGATAAGGTGGCAAGATTTAAAGCATTCCCTCTGGTTACAGGGTAGCCATTCTAGATTTTATATCGGGGAAGGACTGTGCAGCAGCTTTGGAGAGAAATCCAGCTGTTCTGATTGGAGAAACAAACTGCACTGTGGATTGGTACTTCCCAGCACCTGAAGATGGTATGTAATTGATAATTATCTGGTATGTAGTGCAAGGGTTTATTTTCATTTCTGAAAATATCTCAATTTGCACATAAACGTGAGGTTGTTTAATATTTTGATTAGAGCTTCTACCTATGGTTGCTGAGTAATTTTAAATTTATTTATTATATAGTGTATAATTGGCTTTGCCTCGGTCAATATTAATATTTTTCTGGGGAATAACGAACTATATTCACCACTGAAAGAGTCCATAATTGTTGTATTATATGGTCTAGATTTGAATAAATGAGACATTGAAGGCTGCATGATGACACCATTAAAGGACTTGTCCCATGTTTCTCAATTACTTGAAAGTAAAAGTGTATTATGTTCCTTAAATCATTACACTGTGTACACAGGTACACCCACACCGTAGTCCATTTGTAAAGTACAGTTGTATGTATTTATAAAGTCATCTTTAAATAAATGTTTATACATAAATTAGAATAAGTTCATACCTCTATAATAATTGAAAAGTATGTAAGAATTTTTTTCAGAATTTTCCTTATTATACAGCATTTGTCATTGATAACTTTGTTAAAAGTAAACAGTTTCTCATCTTTTTATCACTGAATTGTGGCATTTGATGTCCCAGCAGTATGGCGCCAAAATCTGATTGAAATATGCGTATTGCCATATTTGAAGTTCAACTCTAAATTTACAACTTTTAAGATATTCTTACTACAACCTTTATTTAATTCAGTATTTTAATAAACAAGGTTGTAGATAATATTTTTCATAAAATTACAGATTTCTTAAAAACATAGGACAAGTCCTTTGACAAACGTCTTTCATAGAAAGATTAAAAATGTCCAGAATACATGTTTTACTGTCTGTATTTTCCTTTCATTTTGTGGGAGACATTAAAATGTGTGGAAAATAAGTGCTATGAAAACAATTTTGGAAAAAGCTAACCAGCAGATTGTCTAAGATTGTGTTTTAATATTTCTACTAGCGGATGAACCCCAGGAAAAACACAAGAAGAACAAAGAACAGTCGGGAGGCTGGAGAAAGAGGAACCGCGGTGGTGGTGGTGGTGGTTATGGTGGTGGAGGTTACCATGACAGGGACAACAGAGGTGGTCGTCGTGACTACAGAGGCGGTCAAATGGGAGGGGGAGGATACGGACAGAATTATAGTAAGTGTTTAACAAATAGAATGCATACACATTCCAAAGGAAAAATCCAGAATACATAAAAATGGATCCTCCATCAGATATCAGAAAACGTAAAGCTGTCTGGGGGGCAATACATCCAGCATTCACAGGACTCAGAGAGTTCTGAAGATCTAACCTGTCAATTTTAAACTTGATTTACTCAGTGGTATGTTTACATGTACTTTCAGTGATGAAACAGGAAAAAATGAACCAGATGTTGATGAATCAAATGCAGAACTTGGCATCCATGGTGGGAGGAGGTCCAGGAGGGCCTCAGGGATATGGGGGTGAGTTAGGACTCAAAAAAAAAATCTGTTATAGAAGCAATGTTATAGATAACATAGGGAATAGGACAGAGGGGTTAATGCAATGATGGTGCTGTTATTTGTCCATCCAACTATATAAATTTATCTGTGAAGAAGTTTATAAATGTTTCACCTCATTCAGTTTTTGTCTTATTTTCAATAAAACATTGATTATTGCTATCACACTACATCGGTATTGGATAATACTGAACAGTGTTGCCATGTTTAGTGAAGATAAACCAGTTTCTTAAATGACGTAGAGTATATCAAAATGTCACTTCTGGTTTGTGTCTTCAATGTTGTATTGAAAATGTTCATAGATTATTTTGATTGTGTTCCCAGAGTTGATTTGAAATGTTGTAAATATGCATTTATTTGTTCCAGGCAACCCGCCTATGAGCCAGGGTGGAGGGGTAAGTAATTATAACAACTTTCATTAACTTGATTATCCTTATTATACCCTCTCCAACAGAATGGGTGTGTGTGTCTGTGTGTGGTGGTGGTGGTGGTTGGGGGGGGGGGGGGTTGATGCTGGACAGTACTAAATTACATTTCCATCAGTTTATCAAGATATTTTTGGAAATCATGAATGGTCTTAAACTCTCTTGTATTACTCATAGTAGTCCACTGCACAAGCTTGATTTGGGAACTATACTTACTGTACAGGTTATAATAAACACATGTTAGGAAGTGACTAAATGTATATTACTTGATCAAAGATGGCTTTCACTTTTAAAGTGATTTTTCAGTTTTCTGAAACAGTAGATTGAGATTGAAAAGCATTTATAATTTATTGTAACCCTGATGTGCATTGGAATTATTATCACCAAGTTTTAGGTGGAAAAACAAGTTGAAGTGGCCATTCTAGGAAATTTCAAGATGGCAGCAATGTTTACTGGTGATTTATTAGGTGGGAGGGGAAGGGGGTTGAGGCTAAATTTAATGAATATGATTTCATGACCTCTGCATTATACCTGTATATATTTCAAAATTTCAGTATGGAGATTATGATCAAGGTTTCGGAGATAAGTAAGTGTATATTCTTCCTTCATACATATACTGTTTTCAGTTTAATTCTTTTTATTGACATCATGATGTTGGCATACAGTCAAGATAACAAATCAAAGGATAAACAACAGCAGATAACTGAATTATAAAATAATGTCTATAGTATGCAAGACAAATTTACAAAATTCCAATTCCTGTGGATTTGTTTTCTCTGCATAAAGCATCTAATTAGGTACATAAACGTTTTGTAGTACACATATTATGATCACATGGGATATAACTTTCTTTATTAGGAGCAGTACCATAGTATAGTTTATCATTAAAAATTCCATCATAAATTAATATTGAACCAATGTATATCATAAATAGGACAGTGATGTATAAAATATATTTCATTTTCAACAAATACTTTACAGGCATAGCATGTACATTTTTCCTTATAAAATCTCTATGAAGTATTGAAACATTTTGATAATTTTTCAGTTTTGGAAGTTACCAGTCTGGTTACTATGCAGATGATGACTATTCAGCACCAAACAAAAGAATGAGAGGTAAATATTTCCTAGATGGATGTATGTTGATAAAATAACTATCTCCCTTGTTTATCAAGTAGTAGACAAAGAGAATAAAATTCTAACAATTTTGTAAGGATTTATTTTTTTATTATACAGGCAATAGAAATAGACGAGGAAATATGTGGTGAATGGGTGAGTATTATTGTCTAAATAGAATTTTGTGTTCGGAAGCCATGGGAATATTAGTTAGCACACAGTTTGAGCCTAAAATGTTTTTGACACTTAAACCCAGACATTTTGGAATAAAAATTTGGACAGACACAATGATTCGAAGTACATGTATTCATATTGATTGAATATACATGTAGGTATGAAATAAGTGCATACTAGGGAATGTTGATAAATTGGGGGAGGTGATTATTCAGGTATATGGTTTGGCGTTATAAAAATCGAATGTTGGTATAAACTGAGTATTTTGAAAGTTATAATGACAGTCAAAATTCTCAAATTTAATGACTTTATTGATTTAATGCATTACTTTTGTTAATTTAGATAATTTTATAAGATACCCACCTCACAAAGTCATAGAATTTTATATAAAACTCACAAATACATGAAAAAGGATGCAGGACTCTGACCAAAGAGGACTGGCTTAGTCCTGGGTTTCACTGCAAATAAAAATGGTAACCTGTTTCCAATTTAATTTGAAAAAAAAGAAAGGAAAAAAGAAAGAAAAATAACTAATTTTAGATAATATTATAATACTTTCAAGTCAAAAGTCATGCATTTCCTTATCTGTTGGGTTACAGGTCACTGTTTTCGTTGAAATATGGTTTATTTTGGGCAAATCTAAAGAAAATGTTTGAAGTATCAATAATTTGGTCTTATCAGTTTTAGTTGAACCACTATAAGGTAGAAGTATCTGACAGGTTGGATGGAATTGATATCTTCACGAAAACTTTAAAGTATTAATCCACAGACACCTTTTATTAAATCAATATGTGAATCAGAGTGCATGTATAAGCACTTCATTATTTCTTTCAATAACATGTAAGTTACATTGATTTACTTAGTAATTCTACTGTTTGAATGCAGATTTTTTTCTTTTTATAGGGGGAAAAAAGTGTGACCATCTGAGGATTACAGATTTGTTGTGATGTTGTGAAAATAGACGTTCATGACTCATAGAATTTTATGATGAACGAAAATCAAGCTTTTTTTTTTTTATATACATACATGTACCTGGTATATGTGTAATATCATCATGCATCATTACTGTTGTTTGTATCATGTTCTTTATCTCGTTTTACATATTTCAAGTGGATTTTCATGTTAAGATATTAAATGTACATTCATAAATTCATAAAAATTTGGATCTTGTTATTATACCCCACGCAACAAGTTGCGTGAGGTATAATGTTTTTGACCTGTCCGTCAGTCAGTCAGTCAGTCAGTCAGTGTGTCAGTCAGTCAGTCAGTCCGTCAGTCCTGTTTTTTTGTCAGCGCAACTCCTCATAAACCGCTGCACAGAATTTCGTCAAACTTTGCAGATATTTAGGACACAATGTGTAGATGTGCATATTACCAGGAAATTCCGATTCCTTTAATTTTTCTCGGAATTTCGGCACTTTTCAACTTAGATTTTTGGCCATATCTTGAATATGGAGATGAACAGTTTGTCAGCGCAACTCCTCATAAACCGCTGCACAGAATTTGGTCAAACTTTGCAGATATTTAGCACACAATGTATAGATGTGCATATTACCAGGAAATTCCGATTCCTTTATATTTTCTTGGAATTTCGGCACTTTTCAACTTAGATTTTTGGCCATATCTTCAATATAAAGATGAACAGTTTGTCAGCACAACTCCTCTTAAACCGCTGCACAGAATTTGGTCAAACTTTGCAGATATTTAGGACACAGTGTGTAGATGTGCATATTACCAGGAAATTCCGATTCCATTATTTTTCTGGGAATTTCAGCACTTTTCAACTTAGATTTTTGGCCATATCTTGAATATAGAGATGAACAGTTTGTCAGCGCAACTCCTCTTAAACCGCTGCACAGAATTTGGTCAAACTTTGCAGATATTTAGTACACAGTGTGTAGATGTGCATATTACCAGGAAATTCCGATTCCGTATTTTTCTGGGAATTTCGGCACTTTTCAACTGAGGTTTTTGGCCATATCTTGAATATAGAGGTGAACAGTTTGTCAGCACAACTCCTATTAAACCGCTGCATAGAATTTGGTCAAACTTTGCAGATATTAAGCACACAATGTATAGATGTGCATATTACCAGGAAATTCCGATTCCTTTATATTTTCTGGGAATTTCGGCACTTTTCAACTTAGATTTTTGGCCATATCTTGAATATAAAGATGAACAGTTTGTCTGCGCAACTCCTCTTAAACCCCTGCACAGAATTTGGTCAATCTCTGCAGATATTTAGTACACAGTGTGTAGATGTGCATATTACCAGGAAATTCTGATTCCATTATTTTTTTTTGGGAATTTCGGCACTTTTCAACTTAGGTTTTTGGCCATATCTTGAATATAGAGATGAACAGTTTGTCAGCACAACTCCTCTTAAACCGCTGCACAGAATTTGGACAAACTTTGCAGATATTTAGTACACAGTGTGTAGATGTGCATATTACCAGGAAATTCCGATTCCATTATTTTTGCCTTAAGAGTTTTGCCTTTTATTGAAGAAACTTTCCAGCTAGGTAATAAGAAACTCCACTGGAATCAGCTTTTTATAATGAAATTCTATGTGAAATATTTTATGACCTTAAAAGACCCCTATTGATTTTGAGATCAAAATATTAATGGTTTAACACAAACACACACTCACACACACACCATCTTCGATAGTTCTCCCCCCCCCCCCCCCCCCCCCTTCAAATTGGTGTGCTTTGCCTTCAATAATTTCATAAGTACAGTATATAAACAGATTCATATGAATGACTACATCATAATTTTGTTTCCATCAATTATTTAAATGTGTAAACTGTCATGTGTTGGACATGGACTTACACTCATTAACAAATCGAAATCACTGAGGAATTTAAATAACAGTTTGTCAGCATAATTCCGGCACTGAATTTCCTGAAACTTTGTAGGTATTTCAGAATAATGTATAGATTTGTATATTACCAAGAAATTTTGATTCCATTATTTATCTAGAAACTTCAGCCCAGTTAAATTTGTAACATACAAAGATTTGAATGTCCTTATATGCAAGAAGTTTTGATGTGATGATTTTTTGCAAGTAATGCCCCTTTTTTGAATTATACTGTGTATTTAAAATGCACTGTGCCATTCATTACGTGTTGCATTGTCGAGTTTTGGGGAAGCGTGGGGTATGTGAGCTTGCTCACTTTTTCTTTCATTCTGCATTGTTTTTCATTTTACTAAGATTTGATTTTGATTTAATAAAAAAGAAGTGTGGTTGATTGTGTGAAATACTTATTTTGATGCTGCCTGAGATTGATTTTCATGAGATATATGGAAGTTGTCAGTTTCAAGTTTTTGGAGAGGTATTCTAAGTACCAAGTAAAGATCCAGTTTGCAATAACGATTTACAAGTCTTCAGGGTAGCGTACTATATTACCGTATTCAGAGGTTGCATGTAATTTCAGAATTTCCTTAGGGTCACACTAATTTGGATTTTACCCTAACCCTAACCCAGAAATATGTTCTTTTTACATATCAAATGTCATTGTAATTAAATTATGAAATGAACTTGTGCTTCATGATGGTGCATCATGAATTCATAAATTGCTTGCTTTAATTGATTCATTAAAAAATCTTAAAAAAGCACAAAAAATATCCCAAACACGAAAGTTTTATTTCGTTAGAGAAGGTAGATCCTACTTTTTCAAATAGATTATACATTACATCGGAGAATTTGACTGTGCTGCGACAAAAAAAGGGAACAACCTTTAATGAATGTTTACAAACTAAATTAAATTTGGAAAGGGGGGGGGGGGTTGCATGTATGGTCTTTCTTCTGAAACTGTTTTACTTTCATGGTCACACAACCATGAAACATGGGAATACCTTTGTGTAACCCTGACTTTTTTAACTTTTGAAAAATGTTTCATAGTCAGAGTCATTGCCAGTCTTGATTGCACATTTAAATATTTTTTTATTGATTATTGGTAAAGTGCAACAATTGTGTCATGTAATTACAAGGTTTTCTATTTCTGTTTATCTGTTCAGTTGTATACATGTACGTACATTGGTAAGATGTATAAACTAATAGAATACACTTGTTTTGGATTGGGAATGAAAAACGGTATTCTTACATTTTTATTACATATTTCAATTAGTCTGATTCATGGAATTTTTTAACACTAAGTAACTGGGTCTTTTTAGTTTTATCCGAAATGAAGGTTCAAGTGAGCGTTCCTGATCACTAATTTGTCCATCTGTCCGTCAATCTTTCCATTTGTCAACTCTACATTTTCGACTTCTTCTCTAGAACCACTGGACCAATTACAACCAAACTTACTACAAATTATCGTTGGAAGAAGGGGATTTAATTTTTTGAATTAAAGGGCCTTGTTCTCTTTGAAGGAGAGATAATCAAGAAAAGGCAAAAGGATGGGTGTCATAAAAATGGGGTGATCAAACTTTGACATGCAAATATATAGGAAAAATTCAATCAAGAAACTCTATGCCTCAGTAAGTTATATTAATATTTTAGTACCCTTATGTAGTGTAGATTCAAGTTTGTTCAAATTATAACCCCCCCCCCCGGGGTAGGGTGGGGCAACAATGGCGTCAAAGTTTTACTTAGGTAAATGTAGGGGAAAAAAACTTTAAATTTTTTTTTCTCAAGAACAAACTGCCATGGTTAGTCATATGACGTGTTATATGTAAGCATCCTCGGATAGTGCAGATTCAAATTCCCCCTCCCCCAATGAGGCCAAAATGGGGGATCAAAGCGTTATATGAGAATATAAAGAAAAAAAATCTTTTCAAATTTTTATCTTCAGAAGAACATTACCATGCATGGTTGGTCATAATTATATGTAAGCATACTCTGATAGTGCAGATTCAAATTTGTTCGTCATGGTCCCTGGGGATATGTTGGGGACACATTGGGGGGGGGGTGAAAGTTTCTTAGGGGAATCTTTAATTAAAAGTTTTCTTCTCAGGAACAATTCCATTT